CCGGTATATATTACAGTTATTAAAGATGGCATATGTATATAAAGTATATATTGCACATAAAGCACATATTGCACATAGTTTGACGGTATTTAACAGCAGCAAGTTACACAATCTACAAAATACAAGATACATACCTTGTAACAGTAACAAGGGTTTAGCAGCCAGGTATAAATTACACAGTTATTAACGGCATATATATTGATTTAGTGGCCAGGTATAAATTACACAGTTATTAACGGCATATATATTGATTTAGTGGCCAGGTATAAATTACACGGTTATTAATGGCATATATATTACACATATAGCACATATTGCACAAAGTTGGTTTGTATTTAGCAGCAAGGGGTGTTATAGTCTGTGTTGTGGTGTGTGTAGGAGGGTCTACTAGGGGCAGTGCTGGTTGTAAAGTCTGACCGCTGCAGAAAGGAAGGAGCTGCGGTATCTCTCCGTGTGACAGGTGGGGTGCAGCAGCCTGTCGCTGAAGGTGCTGCACAGTGAGGACAGGGTGTCCGGGGTGGGACATATTGTCCAGCAGGGAGGACAGCTTGGCTGCCATTCTCCTGTCTCCCACCACCTCCACAGTGTCCAGAGGACTCCCCAGGACAGAGCTGGCCTTCCTTACCAGTTTGTTCAGTCTCTTCCCGTCAGCAACCGAGATGCTGCTGCCCCAGCAGGCCACACCATAGAAAATGGCTGATGCCACAACAGAGTCAAAGAAGGTCTGAAGGAGTGCCCCCTGCACCCCGAAAGACTTCAGTCTCCTCAGCAGAAAGAGCTACATCTGTCCCTCTTGTACAGAGCAGCAGAATTATCAGTCCAGTCCAGTTTATTGTTCAGATGAACACCCAGGTATTTGTAAGATTTCACAATCCCAATGTCCGCTCCCTGGATGTTCACTGGTGTCGGGGTCCACGTCCTCCACGTCCTCCAATGAGATGACAGACAGAACATTTTAGTACCAAATCTAATACCTCCGTGTTAAATCAGCATGAACAAATGTATATATTTGTGTGTCTGCAAAAGCCAAAGTTAACCACAGATTCCCTGAAAGTTGTATTTTAATGTACTGTATAATTGCATTGAATACTGATTTTACATGTGCTTAGCATCCAGGGCTAAGTTAAAGGGTTATTTCCCCCAAATCACTTAAATGCATAAACATATTCTTACCTGTAGTGGCTTTGAAATGTGTTTCCCTGAGATTTCTGCGATCACAAATCAACCGAGATGACAGGAATTCACTTGCTGCTGAAAGCATCAAATGAAAAGTGTAATTTGAATAACTTGTCTTGGGCCAAGTAGTGCAAAGCTCTGGGGACTCAAAAGCCCAGAGGACATTTACCTAATTGCAAATTTGCTAAAAGATTAGTGTACCAACAAAGACAGGTCCGCCATTATTACCTGAGTATGTGACTTTGCCTGGTAGAGAGAGGTAGACAGGTATGGGTAAATAATAAAGCTACAATTAAGTCTGCTCTGGAATCCAACAGTGGATCACTTTGGTCACCAAAACATATGTAATCACTGATATATGCATTTTTCATATGACCCATAGGACACTTGCATGACTACAGGTCAGCAGTTCTGTACCTCCTTTATGGGAAGATATTGCAACCATTATTTGGAAGTTGTTTTTGCTGGGGTACTCATAAAAAAGGGTAATGCCACCATGTTTTTTTTTTTTTCCAATAATGTCCTTTCCACTGGGGATAAATGCACAAACCTCACTGCAAACACCAGGACTATTACTACAAAATAAATAGGCCCTATGAACACTGTCTTTAGCAATGTATGTGATTTATCCAACACTGTTTCTAAACACACATTGCTGTTGAATTTAGAAACGTATGATTTCATTGCTTTAATAATAGCAAATAAAAGTCCATTCATTTCCATTGGTGATGGTTATGTTCAGCAGCTAATAGATTTATAAACCTCAACACACAAAACAACAATTCCAAGGGAAACACAGCTATGGTTAAGTGACATAAAACAGACTGACTGTGGGTAAATGTTAATGTAATCCATCATGTTCACCACTAGATGTCCTCATCATCAAATGTTCTAAACGCATTGAGTGATGATATGAGCTCCAATGAATGGAAAGTAACAGTCTGCAGGACTTAATTCATAGTCTGCCCAGTCTCCACTACAAATATAACCTCAGCTGCAGGAAACATTCATGCCTCTGTTTCTCATCTCTCATCCTCTGCTCCTCACTGAGAGGTGAAGAGAGAGGCGAAAGACAATTAGCAGCTTGCACCATAAACTGAGGAGCATCGGTTCATCTAAATGACAAAAGATCCTGAATTGGGAAAATGCGTCAGTACAGAGGAGGCCATCTGTTGCTATGGAGGTAAAGAGAGAGGATGATGTACTATAGTGTGCTTTGATCTGTGATGCAACAGCTCCATTGTGTTAAATACACTAAGCTTCCTGTTTATTATTTACACATATCTAGGTTATAGACGGTTAGGATGTTTGGTTTTTGTTGAAGCTGGTTTTGTTGTTTGAGAGGTAATAATTCAACGTTATGGTAATTTTGGTGCATTAGTTTATGTTGGTGTTGATGTCCTGGTGTACGACATGGTGCTTAAGGGCTGCAATAAGTATGAACATTTGAACACCTAAAAACAATGTGAAAATAAACAATAGAGAATGGAATGATCCCTTTGTGTCTTATATTTGAAATTGAACTGGGGCCTCCTGTAAGTGTACGACACGTGCTCCAGGTATTTCTCTTAATCTGATAGCGATAAGCATCCCTGGCTCTGCTGACTCGGCCGTTTTCCATCCCCTCGCTGTCTAGTTGTTGGCTCCTCTCATCAGCCGGGCTATTTTAAGTTTAACCCTCCTGTCTCAGGGGATCCATACCCCCAGCTCATCCCGGTTTACACCCAGCCAAATATTAGTTCAGCCACCATGTGAAGCCTCATCCTCACAACGTCACTCAATGCATTAGTGTAGCACTCATACCGTTACACTGACTCTGACCATGGAAATTAAGTGTGATTGCAATGGGATATTTTCCTTGAAAAAACACAGTGTTGTTTCCTCAATATGTGATATTTCATCCAAACAAATATTTATTTATTACCTTGGTTTTACTGGAAAATGGCCCTGCATTGTTTCCATTGTAACAAACAGCCAAACGATAACTGTGCTGTCTCGCAGCCTGAGGATGCACACAGAAGAACTCTGATCTGCTATGCTCTCTATAAAAGTGCCAGGAATGTAGCTGAGAGAAACAGGAAGGGAGGGGCTAGACAAAACAAGTTTAAATATATTGCGCATTTCAGCCAAAAGGCAATTCAAATCACTTCAAAAGCATAAAGACAAAGTGCAAAGGAAACACATTATAAAAGGTAAAACTCAAAACTGGCATCAACCCGTCAAGAGAATAGAAAACAAAAAACAAGGTCATATAGAATAAGTCAGGTATAAATTATCATTAGAGTTACAGTGATGTGAAAGCTATTGAGTATTCTTCTCCAGCATAGACATTACGTTTAGCATACTGCATGCTTACTTTAAATGCTTTCTCTATCTCAGGTGGGAACAGTGAAGGTAATAGTGTGACTGTTCCTGGCTTGGCTAGTATTGATTTTACTGGTGCGAGGCTAAGCATAGCATAGGTTATATTAAGATCACATTACAGGCTGCAAGGCCTCATGTGTCTGACCGCATGCACTAGACACTGATATGTTGTTTATGTCAAGGCTCAAGCAATATTTAGGTCCATTAATGTTCAGGCAGATTAACCACAGCTGGAGATAGATTAGACGGAGGGCTTTCCTTGAGATGGAAACTCCAGACCGCAGTGACTCACACGGCCCAGACTCACCCTCCCCAGGTCCTCACCTTCTGCCAGTGTCAGGGTTTCCCCTCACTGTGAACTGTGATGGAAAAATAATGTAAATAACTTACTGAAATAGTATAATCACAATGTAAATAATTTATGTAAAAACACTGTTAAAACGTCCGGCACAGACATTTCAACTTTGATTAAAGTGACTGCCAGTCAAAAGGGCTTACAGTAAGTAGGCTACCGTAGTTGGACCTGCAATAGAGCCGAGTAGCATCAGCGGTTTCCATTATGATGTTCCTTACTCTTATACATTTTCCTACAAAATCTAGTACCATAATGTATAAATAAAGGAATTGTACCTTAGTGTTTGAGTAAATGTTACTGTCTACCACAATAGAGAAGGCAAATATTGCTGATCTGCCAATGGAAACAAAAAGCAATATATGATCAGATTGAGGAGAATAACACACAGAAGTTGTGGTCACCTGTTTCATGGAGTCAACATGAGAGGCACAAATAATGTAAACTACAGTGATTTAGACCCATTGGATTGGAAAGACACAAGTTAAGGTAGCAGGCATATTCCTATTTGTATGGAAGATGGTAATGTGGATAATGTGTGCAGCACATCATAGTAGTGATATGTAAATGTGTACCATTGGTGTAAGTACCTTGTGGGCAGAGGCTCGCTTATCTCCTAGTGCAATGGGATACTTCAGTGGATTTGTTTTATATATAGGACTTTCACTTTTCTGTGAAGCTCACTTTGTTATGCTGTGGTGTAAAGCAACAGAAGAAAGCTGTTTGAATAATCTGTCTCTCAGAAGTAGAGAAGATCAGGAGCTGTGCCAAGAAGGGAGAGAGTCATTGGAAGATTGGGGACAGGAGTATATTGATAGAGGGAGACAGGGAGGGAAGGCATGACAAGAGCCTGGTCAGGTAGAGAGGTGAGCGGAGGAGAAGGAGGGAGAGAGGGAGGCAGCAGCTAACGCAGCATAATTAGCCTGGGCTGCTTGGTTACCTTCCAAACAAAGCTGCTGATTTGTGGAGCGAAAGAAGAGGAGGGGAAAAGCGAGAGAGAAAAGAAGAAGAGGAGGAGGAGGATGGAAAGAGATGAGGGGAGTGATTGCGCCATGCCAGACACACTTGAAGCTCAGTCTCCCTTGGAGACAGTGGCAGCACTGGATCACGGCATGACAGTGCAACAGTAGAGTCTCCACTTCACGGCACTAACTCTGAGCTATCTCCACTGAGCTGTGTCACTACAGAGAGTCAGAGCAGCAGTAACAGAGAGCGCTGGGCTGGAGAGGAACAGGGAGTCAGGACTGGAGTGCTGGGAAGAAGACAGAAGAGTTTGACAGAGCTCTGGGAGGAGGGGCAATCGAGAGCGTGAAGAAGAAGCAGAGGAGTCAGGAGTCTGAGGATGCACGGAGCAAGCAGGACGAGCTGCTGAGCGAGCAGCCTGGGCACATTTACTCACACACACACATCCTCACACACTTCCCAAGGAAGGACAGTGCGTTGTGCCCCCAGTGGAGGATGAAGAAGCACTCAGCCCGAGTGGCTCCTCTCAGCTCGTACAGCACCCAGGTCCTCACCTGCCCCATCTCTGAAGGTAAACCCAAAGAACCGGAGAGGCCCAGGACGCCATTTATAATCAACTATGAATAGTGAAGGTGCATGTGTCGGCATGAGATACTGGCAGCGTTAGCACAGATAGGTTGCTTTAAACTAGAACTAATTAATAGTGCTCATTGTTTTGGACACATTTTACAGATAAAAAACGTTTTTCCATAAGGCATCAATGAAGTGATGTGAATGTGTTCTATTCAAGGTGGATAAAGTACTCAGATAAAGTAGTAGTACCACAGAATGGTCCACTGTTACCAGCAGAAGTCTGCATTCAAAATGTTGCCTATACTTTACAAATGTATTTGCATCAAAATGTTCTTAAAGTACCAAACGTAAAAGTATTCATTCTGCACAATGGAATATATATTATATAGATTTGTATTAGAATTATTGTTGGACATGTTTTACTTTATCAACTGAAATGTGTGGAAATCACCAATTGATCAATTTAGATTTAACCTATTATAATGCATGACTCATTATTTGTTGATTATATATTTGTATCATTATTCTAAAGTTTTCAGTCACTTCAGTTTTAAAATAAATGTAGGGCAGTAAAAAGTGCAATATTTGCCTCTGAAATATAAGTATGAAGTAGCAGGAAATTGAACTACTCAAGGTAAATACAAGTACATCAGAAGTTGTACTTAAGTACAGTAGGCCCTACTTGTATATGTGCATGTGACTGTCCACCACAAAATCTAATGAGCAGCTTAATTCAACACGTTTTACCACCTGGGCTTTTTTGAAACATATCACTTTAGTGTCCTGCTGGAAGAGTTTGGAAGCTTAATGTTGACAGGAAGTGTAGTTGTAGCAGCAGCATCTGTTTCTGGCTGCCCGGCGCTCATGGAAAATAAAACCAAACAGGCCCAAATTCAGCGGCTTTCACATCTGGTAATTCTGTCCACCTGCCCTCCATTCATCTCACTGAGCATTACAATTCACTCATCCTCATCCCATAACCAACAGCCTTGTACTTCACTTAAATCCCTTTACTTTTTATCTTTGTAACACAAATGACTGACTGGTGCTGCTATCAATATCATCATAGCTATGTTTCACATCTCCTGCCGTGACTTGGATAGAAACGTAATGCTGTTTGGCCCGCAGTAAGCCTGCCTAACGCTGCAGAGGCAACTCTGAGCTTCATATTGGATTCGACAGGGGTCCATCCATCAATGTCACTGGCATGCAGTGTCAGTGGGATAAAACACAGAATGGATTGAAATGTGAGGTTCGAGCAACCAGCTGCGTCACACAGACTGGATAAGCTCTGTTAATGGGTGCTAGTAGTGAGTGATCCTCTGCAGCAATGGGATTGCTGTAATGAAATGGCATGATGATGACGCTGGCTAATGCTTTTTGAACACATTTCTTAAAGGTAAAGTTTAGTATAGTATAACTCAGGATAGCCTTCATATAGTAAGGCATAGGTATTTTAGTTTGAAAAGAGGTGGAAGCTTGTCCCAACTTCAAATGTAGGTGCATACTCTAAGCAGCTCTATTGTTAGTGGTTTGTGTCTTTGGAGAGTCTATATTTTAAAGTTTAAGCTTTGGATCATCATATTTAAATAAAATAAACCTTTAATTTTAATAATGCACCAAATGATGTCTGATGGATGATGCTCCATGTATAGGTCTAAGAACTTTATTAATAGCACTCTTACATTTTAGCCAAACAAGTACACTTACTCTGAGTTGACTGAATAGCACTTTTTTTACTTCATTTAACAGTGAAACTATGCTGACAGGCTGTATCTGTCAGGCATTATTGTTTCTCTTGCAACTTTTAGCATCAATACTAGTCAGCAAATAACCTGTCTGTTATTTTGGCCACGAGAGTCGCTTTTATGAGGCACGGTAATAGTAGAGTTATAATATTACTGCATCTTGGCAGCAGATCAGCCTGTAGTGGCTTTTACCTCATCAAAAGAGGACAGAAGATCCCGTATCCAACACTAAAAGCTTTCCTTTTTTTGTCAGTGCTGTGAAACACGAACCATCTTAGCTGTTGGACAAGGAATAGCAGACATAATGAAAAAATAATCAAAAGAATAATAAAGCTGCTTCTCTCTTGCAGCAATATCAGATCTTAGTTTTCCAGTGTTTAGCAACCACCAGGCTCATTAGGTTGATTAAGAATTGTAGCTGTGACAGAATGTAATTACACCAATCCCTCGATGATCCTGTAGGAAAGAACTTGTATCGTGTTCGACATTTTTGTTTTCCCCACAAGCTCTAGTTCTGCTGTAAGTCAAGGTGAAACATTTTACAGACTCTAGGCTAATGCAGCACTGATGTAGAAACTAAGTATACTTCAGTGCTGCACATATGGAGAGTTTGTGGTGCCTTTACATGATTTGAGTATTTCAGTTTTATGCAACTTTGTACTTGCTTAACTACATTTCATATTGTGTTATTTACTCTATTAAACACACATAGTCGAACATTTTATGATCTTTGAAAACCCCTAACCCTTCCAAACCTCTCATATGGCTTAATTGAAGTCACTTATTGAAACGCAAGGAGGCACAACTTTCCAAAATTCTCAGAAAATGTAAATTCTATAAAATAGTAAAACATATGAATGCACAATTTGTGTAGCCAAATATCTTTTTTCATTTCTTCACCTTGGTTAGGACTGGACTTAATTACCCAAATGTGTATTAGGTTGTTAAAACGCTCCAACATGACTGGATACAACAGATCACTTTTTTTATTTTGTATTAAGCAAATGATCCTCTCCTCGCACTAACATGAATCTGATCGGTCTAATCTAATCACCATTCTTTCTCAGGTATAACAGTTGCAGCCATGGGTTAGCTGTAATACTGTTACTGGGTGCCAGCTATGATCTCATGCTTTCATTGATCTTATTAAGTCATTTTGGCAAGACTGTTGAGTTATTTTCTGAATGAAATAGGTGGCTCTGTAAAAGATACCTGCCAATGTAGTGTGGGGTGGACTCACCAGTGTAAGGGTTTCACACAAACAAGCCAGAAAATATCACTATCGTTATTTGATCTAAGGAATGCGCTTAACAAATACTGTTGCGGCTTTCTTTTGGATGAAACTAAAACTAATTAACGTACAATCCACTTTCCTTCATTAGACCTGTCACTGTTTCCTGTTGAAGTCTCACTGCATTTGACAGACAAAAGAATGTCAGATGGAAAACGAGATGCCCTTCTGCAGCAGAGGGAGATACTCTGGGTACAAATGCAGGTGCTTGCAGCGCTGCAGTGTCTGCAGCCATGGTGGAAATGGCAGAGATTCCCGTGCTGAGCTAGCAAAGGGGGCACAGGCAGCAAACATCCAGCACATGTCATCTTTTATTCCTGCCCTGGTGTAAATTGATCACACTGTTGAAAGTTAAAGAACGGAATCTGAGCTCTCTCCGGAAATGCTCCCACACACAGCACTTCACATATTAAACAGCACAGTAAGGGTCCAGAAGTCCTGCAGTCGATTTAGGCACTGGGCATGATCAACCATGCGTCACTGGCATAAGATTAGGAATAATCCTCTCTTTCGATCTATATGTAATGTTGGTGGTAGTGTACATCTTTCCCAGTGCTACTCCATGACAATCTTGATTCCATCTTCAGATATATCTCAAAGGCAACATTTTCATAGCAGGAATGTACCAACAGTCAAACAGTGGCTTCCAAGGTTGACATGACTTTCTTGTGGAATGTCATGTGGTTAGGTTTACTCTTGCTTTCTGGGCATCAGGTTTCTGTGCACACCTGACTACAGTACGTGCTGCCTCATGAGGCCACAAAGCTATTTATGACATGCACAGCCAAAATGCTAACCCAACACATTTTTGACAAAGTCTTGTCTTGTGCATCAGCGCCCTTACAGCATGAAATGCAAACTGTGGTAGTGATCACTGAGGGCAATTGATCAATAAATGCTTATGTGCTGGACCCCAGCCAGGGAGACACATGCACCAACCTGTATATACATTAATATAAAGTATACGGAATATACAAGGTTTGGCTAATATAAAGGGTTTAAAATACAAAGCTGTATTTATGCAAAGCAATGCGAGAACGGCTTTTAGCTAAATGCTTATATTATGTCACGCTAACATTGTCCTTAGAACAGGAAGTACAAAGTGCACATGTAGAAATCCAGTGATGGATTTTCTGTTTTCTGCTTCTTTTGACCAGCGCTTCAACACATTGTAGTCTAAGGGGTGGGACATTTCTATGCGGTTGACCAATCAGAACAGACTGGGCTCTGGTTTCAGACAGCGGGTGAAAAGAGGTGCTGCAGCACAGCCAGCATTAAAGACCTTTTTCAACATTTAAGCCACAGTAAAAATGTCACAGTAGAGCCACAAAATATAAATCTTTTTGTTGTGTCTCCCACCAGGAGAGGATGGCTCAGAGTCTCATGCAGAGACACCGGGCAGCGAGACCAGTGAAGAGAGCCGGTCCTATCAGACATGTACCCACACGGCTCTGAAGGTGCTGGGGGGTCTGCTGCTGGTGCTGTGCGTCTCCTCCTCCTGGGTGGGTACCACTCAGGTGGTAAAGCTGACCTTCCAGTCGTTCTCCTGTCCTTTCTTCATCTCCTGGTTCAGCAGCAACTGGAACATCCTCTTCTTCCCCATCTACTACTCTGGACTGGTGGTTACTACAAGGGAGAAGCAGACTCCCATACAGAAATTCAGGTAAACTGACAATAAAATGATATTTGAATCCAATGAAAGAAGCGTTGATGTGGCTTTTGCTAATGTGTGCTTGAGACTGTACGTAAAACAGCTGTGGCAGACGTGTCACTTGAGTTCATCACCAAAATGAAGATAAATAGTCTAGTAGTGTTTAAATGTATATGTATATACGTTTTTCATTTGGAGAGGGCAGACCTAAAGCAAAGCCAAGTCTGACATCTCTTTTTTTGGCCCTTGTAAAACAGGGAGTGCAGCAAGCTCTTTGGGGAGGATGGGATGACTCTCAAGCTTTTCGTAAAGAGGACAGCCCCCTTCTCGATCCTGTGGACGCTGACCAACTACCTTTACCTCATGGCGTTGAAGAAACTGACCGCAACTGATGTCTCTGCGCTCTACTGCTGCCACAAGGCTTTCGTCTTTCTTTTGTCCTGGATTGTTCTCAAGGACCGTTTCATGGGGGTTCGGGTCAGTATCCTCACAATAACAACTATAATAAAACTTTCAATAGCTGTTCCTCCTGAGTAAACTAATGCCTGTGATGTCTCTGAATCTCTACCTGCAGATTGTGGCAGCTATCATGGCCATCACAGGTATTGTCATGATGGCTTATGCTGATGGTTTCCATGGCGATTCTTTTGTGGGTGTGGCATTAGCTGTGGGCTCGGCCTCCACATCAGCTCTTTACAAGGTTAGACCACTTCTCAGTTTGAACCACTTTTGGACTGACTCTAAATGCTTGTAACAGTGACTGTCAATGTGTATATTAATGTTTGTCTCACCATCCAGGTGCTGTTCAAGATGTTTCTGGGAAGTGCAAACCTTGGAGAAGTGGCTCACTTCCTTTCCACCATGGGCTTCTTCAACCTCATCTTCATCTCCTGTGTGCCCCTCATCCTCTACTTCACCAAGGTGGAGCACTTGGGCTCACTGTCCTCCCTGCCCTGGGGATACCTGTGTGGACTGGCAGGACTGTGGCTGGGTGAGAGTGCATCAATACCTGTAAAGAAAAGAGTGAATATCAGGGTTTCACCCACCTGTTAAAAGTGTTTGAATTAATGTTAATTGTTAATTAACAAACATTTAATTTATAGTAATATGTTTCCTTAAAAAATATATGTATTTATAAGATGATTTATAATTGTTTACATGCTTACAGTCTGCTTTTCACTGCATTCGTTGGCTATTGGTATGCTTTTTGGGGCATTGCTGCCACAAACAGACAGCACAATGTAAACTAGCTGCATGCAAGCTACTAAAAACTACTATTGGTCATAAACTCCTCAACGTACCTTCAAATTAAAAGCTGTAACTAATGACTTTGTCATTTTTTTTTAAGAAAACATTTAATGAAAGAGGCAAAATAATTTCTTCTTTTACTTAACTCATTGATAAGATGACCTGTCGTGTGTGAACTCTAATCTATTCCTCTTATTTGACAGTTTTCAACATCTTGGTGCATGTTGGTGTGGTGCTGACGTACCCCATTCTCATCTCCATAGGGACACTCCTCAGTGTGCCGGGCAATGCAGGTAAAGTTTCCTAAGTATTGTCTTCAATGTATTGGTTATAATTTCTTATTTCTTATTGATATGATTGTGGGAAGGAGAGTAAATGGCCACACATACTGTGGTGCTTGTTTTGAGAGGTCAGCACTTAAGGCTACTGAAGCAAACAGATTACACAGCAAGTCTGCCTCTCTCTTCCTGGAAACCCAATCATCAATGTGCCTCAACACACCCTGCAACTCTTCTCTCGCTGAGGGAGGATCAGGTTGCTAAGGCGACACTAAATGCCTGCAGACGAGTTATTTTCTTTGACCACGATGGACTGCATGAAGGTCAGTGGGTTACGGCCAATTGTCTCCAGACCGCAAAGACACAGAGGATAAAGTGGACGGCTTGTGCTGATTTCAATCTGCATTAGCTTCACTCATCCCCCTATAGCTGCAGTGTCCTGTGGTTTATCTTACTTCATGTAATTAATCTCAATTTGTTTTTGTTTCTCCCCCCCTCCTTCCCTGTTCTGCTCCTCTGCCACACTTCCTGTCTTTCCTTCACCTGCTGTAGCCGTTGATGTTTTGAAACATGAGGTGATCTTCAGTGTGGTGCGCCTGGCAGCCACCTGCATCATCTGCCTGGGCTTCTTGCTCCTGCTGCTGCCTGAGGAGTGGGACTCAGTCACGCTGCGTTTCCTGGCCACCATCGCAGACAAGAAGACGGAGGAACATGGCGAGGAGCTCACAGACTCCAGCGTCCACACACGAAGCCGCAGTCGGGCAAACGGCACTGTCTCTATTCCCTTGGCATGACATGGCTGAGCTCTGCTAGTAGCCTGTGTTAACCAGTCTTTAAGCCCTGTCTGCAAATGTTCCTCCATGGTGTGGAGGTGTGACGGGATTTTTGGTCCACGAGGACTTTATCAGGGAGACAGGAAGTATTGTCTTGAACTTCACTCTGGAGATCTCTCACTAAATCACTTCACAACAGGAGGGGGGGGAAGGAAGACATTTATGGAAACTGTTATTCCTGATGCTCAGTCCTGTTCCTCGCACGCACCCAAAACAAGAGCTGACTGACCTCCCCTCACCTGCTCTGCGGACTGTATTCTGTGAATATAAATATTAACATGGCCAATTTGGCTTAATCTTATATGTATTTATGATATTTATTTAGAGCTTTATCAATAAGAGTATTATTTGGAATCTTATTGAATAGTATTATATACAAGAATGGCAGTTATACTATGCTTAATGTACAGGCTCTTTTGGTTTTGTAATAAAAGACTTAAAACTCACATTTATAGCATGTATTACTTGTTTAAGTAATAGTCACATTTCCAAAATCGGAAATTTTAAATTACATTCATTTTCCCACTTCACCAGGAAAAGACGCTAAATGACCATATAGTTTAATGATGGCAAAGACACATGTTTTGTTGTTAGAGTAAAGTTGTGGGTGAGATCACAATTTTTTCCTCAAAACTCAAACTGTGTGAACAGCTTTCAGAGACATTATAAGAACTATTGTTTCATCTGTATACTTTGTATCATGAATAGATATTTTTAGCAGAACTAGGTGGTGTGGTTCATATATTAGTAGGCTAATATGGTAAGTGCATTGCATTGATTTAGCAGTGATGACTTTGCAGAATTATCCTCGCTATAATACATTACGCAATGGTGTATTTAGCTGTTACTTACTCACACAAGCACACACACATGCAGTGGAAACTGATGAAGATTGGAAAGGATAGTTTCTACTTTAATTTATCCTCTTTCACATATACACAATCTGTGGTAACAATGCGTACCAATCTGCCTGGCAATGGAGGCTCTTGGGACATGTTTTGCCTTTAGAGCATAAGACTGTGACAGGCCTCGTCAAAATGACTTAACAGTGTCACATAGCATGTTGCAACGTTACATTTTAGTTCATATAGTGTTCGTTTAGATGATTAGGGTGTCAGGGGACCTATTACCTATCTTAGTCTTCACACACAGACACACACACACGCACACACATGCACACACACACAATCCCGAGAGTTTAACACCACACTGTATTTATGACTGCATGCTGGAGTGCAGTCAGTGAGTTGAAAGCTTTAATGAAGCACTTGCTGAGGTGACACTTTCAGCTAAACAACCGCAGTGACATTTTTAACATATTAAAATAAATGAGCTAGAATGAGCAGAGGCATTTGTAATGTTCAAATCTGAATTATAATGTTAAGTATTTAGTTCTGCTGGATGCTGATAAGAGACGTTAGAGAGGGGCCTTATGTAATGAATGTTAAATACAGCGTTTGCCATAATAACAGATTTTTGTATACATTCTTATTGGAAATATTTGTAGATAAATATAGGGCAGACAGAACATGAGGAAAGTGTGAAAAGCATAAATTAGAAAGAATTACAACACTCGACAAGGTCGTGTCAGATAACAAGTTGATTGCCAAACTGTATCATTTTCTAAAAAAGGCAAGCACTCAGCACTGAAAAGTAATATAAGAAAACCAATAATGCTCCAAACAAGGCCAAAACACTCTATCCAAACTGTAGATGCTGCAATAGAAGAAAAAGTTGAATAATTTAAGTGATAAAGATGGTCTATTAAAAAATGTAATACATAAAGGGAAACCGTTTGGAAAATAATTACTACATAGGCTTGCTTCAAGGCCAAAAGTTAGGCTATATGAAATATAAAGCGCTGATAAAACTACTGTCTTATCTGACATGCAGCCGAAAAGGACAAACCTTTGTTACACAGTTTGTCCATGTGTTCTTCTGTTTACTCATGAAGTCACATTGTTTAGTCAGTTAACAATTTCCCAGAGATTTGCCGTCTCTCCTTACCCCTCCGGGCTTTCCAATATGGAAATAACAGGTTCTTTCAAGCATTAACTTATGAGTTACAAAGTAACCTGTAGGGAGAGTTGCCATAGAAACCTAGCTCATTATAATGAAGTCAAGTATGAAGCAGCGCTGAAGTACACACCTACTCCTTTAAGCACAAAAGTGTTTTTTGCGGTTTTACTTTGACAGAGATGCGTCGGGACAAACATTCATTTCGCCAGCAGGGGAGATTTGAGGACCACCAGGCTTGTTTTAATGTTATACATTAAGTTATTCTGTTATTGATGTCTTTAAGAGAAGAGCCAAACAATTCTTAGGGAATTAACATGTGGACGGTGGACATACAGTTACAGAACCTGCATTTCTGACGAGAAGACTTTAAAAAGGTGAGATTAGTATTAGTAAAGACTAAACTAAACCTGAAGAAAGATAAACTAACTTTGAACTTTCTTGTGCTAGAGTAGAATTTAGTATTTTGGCTTGACAGCATTAGGACACGGGGCAAGTCAATGGGCTCTACAGGCTCCAGACCCAAGCTGTTTAAAGTGGCTCCGTGTAATAGCCTGCAGGAGGGGGCACAGCCTGAACCACAATGGACCGTCCCCGCTCTGCCCGTCAGTGTGGAGCAGCCATCGGGATCTCTGGCACAGAAAAAGAAAACCTTACCTCCACTGAGACAGGAAATAACTCTTTCCACACTCTCAGGTTAGTAAGTCTCATGTCTCTGGTGTTTCATTCCCATTCAGTTGTATTTGTACAGTCCACTATGTGTTGTGATACTGATTGTCTGCATGTGTGTGTTGTAACAACCATGCTTTGTAGGAAACATCCCATCAAAGCAAAGTAACAATTCAAGCATCATTCACTCACATCCAGCCCGAAGAATGCAGGTTAATATGTTATATTAGCTATAAAAGGCTATTATTGTTGCCTGATTCGAGAAGTTTTTCATCGATTCAATCCCCGGCTAGGACTCTGGCAGACATCATTTTGTATTATTGTTTCTGACTGGTTGAGATTTGTACCCAGACATGCCATCATTATTATTTCCTCCTCAGACACTCCAACCACTGGCCCTGCAAATTGGGCACACAAGCATTGCCACTCAAATTGCCATGGTAATAAAAAAGAAAATAAACATATGGTTGCTGTGCCAGCGTCACTGCCCCCATGATATCTCACGACACAATGAGAAATGTTTCTGTTTGTTGCAGGGCAGGGACTGCAGAGATGGGGGTGTCCCCCTGTCTTCTACAATCGGCCAGACAGGAAGCTGTGGCACCGGCAGAATGATTCAGGTAAAGCAGCTTGTCAAAGTAGGGAAGAGCTAAAGTGCATCTGTATCATCAATAATTCAGTTCATGCTTTTTTTAAATTGAGGAAAAATTAAAGTGTGCAGCAGTGCTTACAATGAGGGGGGAAATAAAGAGCGAAGAAGAGACGGAAACAGCTGTGAGTAAGGGCTCTTCCAGTCCCAGTGGATCTGATTAAAGTATATACGGATTGGAAAGTAGGGTGGTCTACAGCCATGACTGGCCCTCAATGGGATCTATTTTCAGGGTACAGGGAACAGAGAAGCCCCCTCTATAACTGCCAATATTGCAGACAAAAAAAAAGAGTAGTTTACTTCAAGTCCATGTCTGTCCAAAGGGAATATATTAACACGATCACATACATCGTAATTACATATATAATTATATTGTAATACATCTTTGTTGTAGTGGTTGAATAAGTAATGCCAGAGCCTTTACTTTAAGGCACTGTTACCACTAAATTCAAAAATTCATATTTTTCTTAAATACTGCAGTGCTATTCATCAATCTAGATTGTTTTTGTCTAAATTGCTGAGTGTTGGATAAATTGGCCGTGTAGACGTTTACCTTCTGTCCAATATTACAGGAATATAGCACTCAGCTTGTGCTGCCAAAATAAATGTATTATTATTTATTGTATTATTATTATTATTATTATTATGTCAAAATCAATCAAACATTAATCTAACCGGTTACTCAAGATAAACATTTAATCATACCTGTCAAAGACACATACTGGAGTAAAGAGTAGAATATAAATAAGTACTTTCACCAATGGCCTCTTGTGGCTCTGTGATCTTCTAGGGAGGATTTCTGGAGGCCCAAACAGCTCTCACCCAACAGGCTCATCGGCAGCGGCGAGCTCACCACCGACAGGCCAGAGAGCAGAGAAGACATAAGGTCGTCTACTCAGTTAACGGTAAGATTGGAAATTGTTATTCTAACAAGGAAGCTTGATACAAAATGTCTGAATGTGGTCTAAATATGATTATATTAGGCCCTCAAGTTGAAGGTCCAAATACAGAGGGCATCCAGAGGCTGAAACTGGTGAGGAGTCCCACAGAGAGGGACATCTTCTGGGACGAGACCACAGGAGAAAGGCTGGATTCCAGGTGCCTTCTAGACCCAACCTTTCTACCTCACCTTTGTGAAGGGAGACAGCGAAACCAGCTGAACAAAGAAGATGGGATCCAGGGAGAGAGAGGTCCCAGAAACGAGAGGAAAAGAATGAACACACTGGAAAGAGATGCCCATATAGAGAAAAACATATTATGGACAAACGAAAGGGAAATGGTGGGAATAGAAGACAGGGACACCACCCAGACGGATGGTTGTATGTGGTCTGAATCTGCCAGAAGCTGTCAGACAGCAAGGGTAAGAGGTGCAAGACGGATCTGGCACAATAAGCCATAAAAACCTTGCAATATAAACAAAATTCTTGGTGTTCTGGGGATACTTTCTTCATGGCTGAGTTTATGACGCCCTCTATGGGTGAAAGCAGTGAGCACACTTGCAGTCAGGCTCATTTTACCTACTATGTTGATAGCAAACATTTTAGATTAAGTTCAAAGAGTTGGGATTCATATCAGCCAGCTTTGAAGCTTCTTTTCTATTACTGGGCATTTGTTATAGAAATTAGCACAACATGTTTGTACAAAGATATCCCATTATTTAAACAGATCTGCAGCTCTTGAACAATAATTATAATGAAAACAGTAAACTGCTAATTGGACCATCATTCTTCAAGTGGTCTCCCTGAGGCCGGCTCTTAGCGGGCTTAGAGAGGCGGAGAGGAGCTGGACTCCCACCAAACACCTGGGGCCGCAGTGGCCGACTAAATCCTGGTCCTCAGGCACAGTGCGTTAGAGGAACACTGCTGGGATCACAGTGCTCAGCAGGGGGCTGGACGGGAATTAAACAAGCTAAGATTATCTGGCGGTGGCTGACTAGAGCTATTTGAATAGATGAAATAAGCATTTAACTGTATTAAAGAAATCAAAGGCTTACATTACCTTTATTACTCAACCACTGGGTGTCATTATTGGGCTGAGGGACACAGTGAAGTACACAGGATAACAGCTTCAGTGTTTGTAATAGTGTATTTAATGTTTTGTACACCTTTAGGTATAAAAGATCACTTGAGAAATTAAGGCTATGCAAGCCTCAAAATGATTAATTACAATCCAAACTGCTGCTTTAATTTGACAAATGCATTTTGGCCCGTGAGAAAATTGTACAAAAATGTTTCCTGTATGCTTGAAGAAAATAGTAAACGATGAGAAAATAAATAATGTATTGTTCTGAAAACCACTGTAGAATGAAAGAGCAAGAGGTATGAGCGTAAGCGTAAGGCACTGGAGCAGAGCAACACATAAAAAATGAGACCTTCTACTTAGCAAGCCGTTCAATCAACAAAGCAAAGTCTGCCAGTGAGAGGCCACTGACTGCAGACATGAGGAGCCAGACTGACCACATATTGGGATACTGAGGAGATTTAGAGTGGCCCAACTCTTCAAAAAACTTCTCCTTTTCCAGTTCGCTAGCCACACACACTGGGCCTTAAAGCCAAATCATCGTGGAGGGGGAGAGCCGAGAGGTCTCGGTGTCTGCCACTCCGTACTGCTACATAAAAAGAAGGTGAAAGATGCCGTGTGAGCAATTGGTTCCAATTGACAGAGGATTGGTCATGGTCAGCCTTCTGAGTGGAAATCCACGTGAGAATGTAGCATTTGGACCAGCAAGGGGCACAAGAGGCCAACAGCAGACAATGAGGGCACTCAGAGGAGTCTGGCTGCTGAGGAATAGTGGGGGCACAATCTCCTTTGATTTAACCCTTCATCGGCTGGTTATCCATTTAACTAAATACACTGAAGTTGAGCTTTCCTAGTATGTATGAGTTCATATAAAACCCATTATAGTTCAGATAAAATAAATGTAAATTGTGAGAAACATCTGGTATGCCCATCTTATATGTTTGTGTATGAATTGATTATAAAGTGTTATCTACACTGTTCTTCGTTTATCTACACTGTTATTCGTTTTACAACAACAAATGTTGAAATTGTAACTGTATCGTTTTTATACGGATTAAGTTAAAGCACCTGTGTAACTTCAAGAGGCGTCCCAACCACTTCCATCCTTGTGACTTTTTCACCAATTAGGCAGCTCCTGCTCACTGAAAGGGACCGGCTGCTTTAAAGTCTCAGAGGGCCCGCGGGTCAACGCTCAATCACCGTCTGGTTAGAGAGGTGGAGTGTTTGAACTAGCCACTAGTTGACAGGGCGGGGATGGGGTCAAAAGGGTTGGGGGAGTGATTGGTGAAGGGGGCAAGGACTCCTGCCAGCTCTAAAAGAGGAACCTTTTGTAGCCAAGACACTGGCCAGAGCAGCCAGGTCTTTCACAGCCCAGCCGCCCCCCCCCTCCTCCAGCTCCACAACAGCTGATGACAAGGCCCCAGCTGCTAATTATCCGGCTGATGGAGAGTCACTGAAGTGGGACTGTCAGAGCGAGGGGTGGCCCTTGTGTCTGCAATGGGATAAATTTGAGGGGAGGGTTGGGGGATAAAAGAAGTTGGACTAGAGGGGCAGGTCGTTTTTTTCAAGAGCAATCATCCGTAAACAAAATCAATACCTCTGCCAGTCAAGGTTTGCACATTGTGAACAGCACTGAATAAAAACAAAATGATTCAGTCTTTTATATGTAAATGTATTATAAATGTTATTTAAATGGTCTATCATTTGTAAGCTCCTCAGTAACAACAGTGTAGTAACACATTTCATGGGGTCACATATCCGGTCTGGATCACAGTGTATGCTTGACAGTCTTCAGTCCAGTTATTGAGCACCATGTATCCATGCTACAGCATCATCTGCCCAGAGGATACCGGAGCACTTCCTGTTGAATTCCATATGAAGTACTCTTTGGATTGAAGTTCTCGTGCTGAAAATAAGACAGATGGACATTTATTTTAGTTTCAGAAAACACACATACAACCACATTTTCTATTTAATAAACCATTGTTAGCTTACATGTTATAATACGTTGTTTTGAAGAGGAATAAACCTGCACCGAATGCTGGTCCACCGAGCACCCAGAGAGTGTCATGTCAGGCACTTTGAAATATAACTGTGAAGATAACAGTTGAGGTGTTAATCCTTTTACAACCTAATGAGTCTATATTATAGATGCCTTATCCAATTGACCTTATCCAATCAGCTGTTTAAAGAATGCTGTAACATGCTGCAGTAAATAAACAAACTGGATCATGAGTATCACAACACACATTAACTCACTTTGATATAGGCTGTTAGTTCTGTGCAGAGGGGGTCAGTAGGTCCTGGTGTCGGCCCAGAAAAGCTGATCTTACCCTCCATTGTTACCTCGCGAGATTTAGGGAACTTTTGTCCTAAATATCAGTGAGGAGGGGAAACATCGCATTAGTTACTTTTTTCAATATGCAGCTACATTCAGGTTATATGTTTTCCATTGATACTAATGAGCACAGTGCCTACCCAAGCCCCAGACCAGCAGGTTTTTCTCTTTTGATACATCGAGTTGTCCGGAGCTCACCTTCACATCCACAACACCAAACTGATCCCTGCGCAGGATACAAAGACCATGTGCAGATGTTACTGTAGAAACACTGATTAAAGTGGTTAGGTTAAACCACTTTAATCAACAGAGAGGCATTTTATGAAAATAGATTTTGACACAAAACCGATTCTCTGGTTGGGTCATTTTTAAGTGCAATAATTTTGGGATATATCTGTAAATTCTGTGAGTGTTTTATAATATGGCTGCATATAATGGAGCTGAGACATGTAGATTAGGTTTATTAGGTTTACTTAGTTTATTGGGGGCATTAGTTGGCTGTTAGAGGACACATTAAATCAGCTCAGGGGACTTATTTATTGCATTTTAATGAGACCAGTGATGGTTTTTGGCAAAAAACTATACAGTTTAAATAAAGATGCAGGATAGCTCTGTTCCATATTACAATGGCCAATGTAAAACACCATAAAACAGTTACAACATATTCATTGCTTCCAGCAATCTATATATTAAAGTAATCACTAATGCAATTAGTAATTATCTTGTTAATTCTTGCATTTCCTTACCAGATAGAATTAACCTTAGAACCTTAGTTTGCTTCCAATGACAAGAAATGTACGTATCAGTAGTTAATACAAATCTTTTTATACCTTCTTTGAATTAGAGATGTAAATTATTCCACATCTTTATATATCATTTATTATTCTTATTAACAGAATTGCATCTCATCGAACTTAACCTCAAAGATGCCATGAAGTCTGAGGCATTAAACGTCTTCAATCTACAGGAAACAACCACTGGCAAGTGCTCAGTGCTAAAATAATATTGTCTCTTACCTGTTAAAGAATGGCAGGTGTGCTTCACAGTACTCAAAGGAGTTCTTCACACTCTCGTGAAGTTTGAGGGTTACTGACACACGCAGCTGGGTTTCTTCTTCCTTCAGTTGATAAGAACCCAGGATAGGGGGAACGGGGACCTAATGAAAAATTGCAATATCCCTTGGGACATTAGTGTTAATGTATGGAATTAGAAGAAAGACAGTATGTATGCTTCATACCTGAGATGTATAGCTGCATAGTCTGAAAGGCTCCAGAGGAGGAGAGAAGGGGAACTTATATGGTCCGGAGAAAGCAGAGCCATCAAAGTTATCCACGCTGCTGGCAGTAAGGATGCTGGAATCCAGTGAAGTGACACAAGGATGCACCAGGATGTCCTGTAGTGGAGAACCATTTGGTGGCAGTGTGAGGGTCACCATCACATTTGGGAGGACCCCTTCCACTTCACACTGTTGAAACAAGGACAAAAAAAGAAGAATGAAGGAAAAGAGTGGAAACAGTTAGACTTGTTTTCCTTAACAATGTGCTCTTACTTTGCATGTCACAGTGCCGTAAACATCCCACAAGTCCTGTCTGCTGCGGTTACCATACTGCATTGAGCGTACGGTTTCTATAAGTGCTACGTTCACCGCAGCTCGACCGCGGTGGAGCCCTGTCTTCCAGGCTGGCTGCTTCTGGTTCTCAGCAGGAGTGGGCACTGTGGGTGTAGAAGGAGCCCCCGGTAGTGGCACATCCAGGGGTGTGCCAAGTGGACAAACCTGCAAGAGTACAGAGGGCAGCATCGCCAGGCGAGAGGCCAGCACCTCGCTATCAGGCTTACTCCCAGAGCCTAGGAGAAAAGTCTGCAGACCTGCCAAGAGAGTGAGGCCCTGAGAGACAGACAGCAGGCTTGCAAGGGCTGGCCGTGGCTCAGCAGGAGCATCCACTAAAGGCAGGCAAGCAAGGGTAATAGGCCCGTGGGAGATTGCCAACACTGGCCAAAGCATTCCCTTTCCAGGGCTGTCCACCCTCAGCTCCAGGGCTGGTGACCGCTGACGATAAAGGCAATCATCTCTGAGAGCTACAAAGGGTTTGTCTGGCTCTGAGAGCCCCAACTCAGTGAGCAGGAGCTGCAGCACAGTGTTATCTTCTGGGACTGCTGTATATGAGGAACCTGCCAGGATCTTTGCACGGTGCTCCACAGTAGCAAACCTCCTGTTGGGGGGGAGACACAATGCTTTACATAACACTCCAGTCGATAAGTAGAGACTTTAATACATTAGAAGGCTGCTGTGGTATATACGTTTGTAAACAGGACATGATATGAGAGTCTTGGATACATACTTTGCGAAGCGTAAAGACAAATGTTCTCCCTTTTCGTGCGAAATAATCCACAAAGCTCTCACACTCATTTTTTCGGCTGCAATAAAGTCTTCAATTTACAGAATGTGACAGCAATATTAATACTCGCATCTTATTGTGCAGCTGTTAAATTCTTATTGCCTTACTGTATGATTTTGATCTAACGCAGCATCTCACTTCCTGGTTGTGTTTCATGTGACCGATCACAAGACATTTGCGCATGCGCTCTGGCTCGCAGCTATTCCACCCTTCTCCACCCATACAGGAAGCAGGACTGCTAACCAGCTAGCTGTCAACAAAGGGCAAAACTGTACCAAATCAGCAAATCCATGTGGAAGTCGGCGCTATTGCGGACTTTGAGCTCCTTCCTCTAAATCGCATTTCACTTCTCCGTCAGCTGAATCTGGAACATGGCGACAACTGCTCAGCTGTTCGAGGTAAAATGACTTCTGCAGCGGAGAGCTGGTTTAGCTGTGAGGCTAGCTATGATGCTAACTATCATAAACGGTACTGACATCCTTGGTGTTTATAGTGGATACATATTCACACACACAGCTGTCGTAAGACGGAAAGAGTAGACACATATATCATGTATTTGAGTTTATTTAGGGTAAGGTTAATATAATTGACTGTTAGGGTGCAGTTAAAGCTAGACAGATGTTGTAAAACGTCATTGCAGGATGTAACGTTATTCGTGTAGTAGGTTTAATATCTTCTTCTTCTTCTTCTTCTTCTTCTTCTTCTTCTATTATTTTGAGGTAAAATCTTTGTTGTGCTAATGTTTTGGTGTGAGGTATTCCTCAGTACATTCATCACTTCCTCTCCCCCTCAGGAGCCCTTTGATGCAGATGAGTACATCGAGAGGTTAGCATGGAGGACGCCTGGAGGGGGCTCCAAAGGAGGAGCTGAAGCATTTGACCCCAAAAGGTATTCACATTTACTGCACACATCTTTCTTCCCCTGATTATAGGAATCAGCAGTAACTGTAAAATACCATTCTCCAGGTTTAACCCTGTGGTGACAAGTTGAAGAACAGCATTGACATTATGTCAACTGTGCTCCTAATCACATTTTTGCTTTGTCACATTTTAAAGAGTAATTTACACAATACCATATAAATGAATCCAGTTTAGTTGAATAAATAATATGATAGTGAACAAACTCATTTTACATAAAATGGATGCTTTGTACTGTAATGCAAATCATAAAGCCTTATTAAAGGGCAATTAAGCTTTTCCACTAGTGTCTGCTAACAGTGTACCACAATTTATCATCTCTCATAAGTACGACTTTATACTGCCCTCCTGTCCTGTTCCACAATGTAATACACCCCTCTTTGAAAAATGTCACTGATGTTGACTAGATGTTGACATTAAGATATTATTCCTATATTGTGTCATAGAATCAATCTAACAGAAAATCTATCTCATGTTATTTTACGTTCTATTCATATGATAATGCATCTTTCCTAACCAGCCTCTTTTTTCTTTAGCTGTCGTGTGCACTTCTTGGCATGTTTTAAAATGGTTAAGAGCAATAATGTTGCTTCCAAACATAATACTTTGAATAATTAGATGTTTTCAAAGTTGAACCTCTTAATATAAATTAAGTTTTCCTTAAAAACAACTTCATACCAACTTAATACCCCTGCACCTAAAGATCTCTTCTATGCTAATTAAGTGTTTTTGATGGTTGGGTAGGGAAAAAAACAGGAAATATCTATGTTGACGATTTAGTTTCATGGTATTTTCCACAGCTTGTTGTTATGTTTACACTTGGGGACCGAGTTATTTCCTGTAAGCAAAAATGCCACAACAGTTTAACTCACTGTGGATCCATCCTGCCTTATCTACTTCCTCCACAAAACTGTTGCCACCACCTCTCGGAAGCTCTTAGCGAGGAGTCAGAGACAACGTATCTGTGGAGGCTACCATACTGTGAGTCACCAGCCAGGGAATGAGTGTCTATTGGGAAGGGATGGGAGATGTCTTTAAGCTGTAGCCAGTGCTGAGGGAATTAGTCAAGAGATTATACACTCATCATTTTGGGATGTTTCCTACTCTGTGAAATGTGGTGCTGACTTAGAACATTTGCTCTGCAGTCCTGATGGCACTTAAAATGCAGCTGACGAAGTTACTTCTTAAGTCTGGGGCCCCGGGAATTAAGCCTCCGACACTGTTCTGTAACTAACTATAACTGTAACTGTGAGGTCAGTAGGACAGATTTAACCTTGTGCTACTTAATTACTCCTTCAGAGATGGAGAATGTTTTGTGTGTTTTACCTTTAGTGTATGTTATAAGACCACTGTGGAGTGCTAATTTACAGTCTTCCTTTCCTCTGTGATAGGCTGTTGGAAGAATTTGAGAACCACATAGAGGAGCTGAAGCAGTTGGATGAGAAGATCCAGCGGCGGGTGGAGAAGCTCGAGCATCAGTGTCACCGCGAGGCCAAGGAATTTGCCCACAAAGTGCAAGACTTGCAGAAAAGCAACCAGGTGTGTTAAATGGTCATAGAAACACCTGAAAGTCTTTGAGCTTTAGATTTCTTTTATTGATTTATCACATTACATAGTTACCCCTTTTGACATTCCTTTTGCTCTTTGCCATTTCAGGTGGCCTTCCAGCATTTCCAGGAGCTCGATGAGCATATCAGCTATGTGGCGACCAAGGTTTGTCACCTTGGCGACCAGCTGGAGGGGGTGAACACGCCTCGGCAGCGGGCCGTGGAAGCTCAGCGTCTGATGACATACTTCAACGAGTTCCTGGACGGAGACCTACGCAGCGACGTCTTTAATAACCCAGACAAGGTGAGTTATCTGCTTTCTATTCACTTCACTGGAGGTGGGGATATGTGTGTGACCACTGACGCGGACCCCCGCTGTGACACTGCTGGAGGTGAGAAGGAACAGGATTATGAGGTAAACCATCCATATTCATTTGTCAAGTTTATCCCTTTAGTTGGATCCCTTGGCTAATTTGGATTATTAAACTGTCATTTGCTGTCTGACAATAGCTGGCTGATTGACTAGCATGGATGTCAACATGCTCATGTCAACCCTAATTGCATTTCAAGAAGGTTGTCTGGGAGCGAGAATTTGCTTGGTCTCAGCTTTGTGTCGCATTACAGCAGCGAATAGCTTGTGGCATTATGGTCCATGTAAGGGCGGTGATAACATGCATGCAGGAAGATGAGATGCACACTTTTACTAAGTTCCTGCCTACACAGGGACCATGTTAATGTTAGACAAGAGACCCCTGAAAGTTTGATTTTGCAGTTTTGAAGTAACAGTAGGGAGATTGGGATGCTTTAGATTAAGTCCTGCTCGTTGCAAAATCATAAATTGATGCAGAGCAGCGAGTCTGGGGGTCAATCCCAGAGACGAGAGATGGAGATGGAGCTAGTTTTTCCGAAGAGGCACGCAGAAATATCTGGCCAGATTCATTTTCCTCAGCATACCTCCAGACGAGGGGAAAAGAGGAAAGCTGCAAGTGAATAGCTGAAGGGGGATGGCTTTGCTAATCCTTCTGAAAGGGAGGGCTGGGCCGCCAGCGTGGAGACAAGTGCTGCTAAACCCTGACTGCAGGGAGACGGCTACATTACTTACATGGGATTTAGCTAATCTTAGCTGGGGGACAGATACTTAGAAAACCTTCGCCGAGCAGAAAGGCTGGATCCTCCTCACGGGAGCAGAGTAATGATGTTAGCTGAGGCAGGCATCTGCGGGAACAGAGGAGTTGCGGACGGCGGGCCTTTCGTGGGTCTGGGGCTTTTTTCAGCCAGTGTGTGTGTGTCAGGAGGGACGGGAGGGAGGGGGGGTTCTCGACAGGGCCCCCTTTTTTTAAGACAGATATCCCTGGCCGGACAGATTATTGAAGGCGATTTAGACTCCTGTGGGATTACAGCCCATTCAGAAAAGGCATGCCAATATAGAGTTGGATGTGCTGCTAAGTCAGAACTGCTGCTGCTCCCGATGCCCAGGTGAGCGCCGCCTGCCTGTTATCAGCTCTCTGTTCAACATGGGGAGGTGGAGGAGGGCAGCTCTGAAATGATGATCCCCCCCAGGTGGAGAGACCACCGGCGGCCTGCCAGCTTTCTGTCTGGGTGTCCACCTCTCATGGTCCTGTCGTGCTCTGTCTCTCTTTTCGCCTCACCTGACTCTCTCTCTCTCACACTCACTCATTCTCTCTATCCCCCAGATTAAGGAGGCTGCTGATATAATTCAGAAGCTGCATCTCATTGCCCAGGAGCTGCCATTCGACAGGTCAGTCAGGAATCCTGCAGGCAGCTTTAGACAAGAGCACTGTCAAACAAGGGGAAGGTGGTGTATTAGCGATGTAGACTATTCCTCGCAGTACATATCGAGCATTAAAGCCTTTTATTCAGATTCATTATATATTTATAGAAATGAAAAGTACTGACTTTGTTTTCCTCTGACAGATTTGCTGATGTCAAGGCAAAAATTGCAAGTAAGTTTTTTTAAAACTCCTCATGTTCCCATTACATATACATTAGATGTTGGCTACCAAAACTGATTATTTCTTTCTTTGTGTTTTCTGTGATTCTACCCAGGTAAGTACCATGACCTGGAGAGGCAGTTAATCCAGGAGTTCACAGCTGCCCAGCGCAGGGGTGAGATTGGACGTATGCGGGAGGTGGCAGCGGTTCTATTACATTTCAAGGTGACCTGAAAGAATCACATTGGATGTCTAGGTTTTATTTTTAGACCGCATTTAATTGGTCTTATATTATTGGGATAGTCACTCGCGTCATACATTATATAGTGTTCTAACAGCCTATTCGTACGGCAATTGCAGAAAAGTAACTTCTTGGTCTTTTTGTTTCAGGGCTATGCATACTGTGTGGACGTCTATATCAAGCAGTGTCAGGAGGTGAGTGTAAAAGGTTTCTCCTGACAGATAACATTCCACTTTTCATCACCCTCAGACTCCTGGTTAACCCTTTGTTTGTCTCCGCAGGGGGCCTACCAGAGGAATGATGTGTTTGAGGACACTGCAGTCCTCTGCCAGAGGGTCAACAAGCAGGTGGGCGAGGTCTTCAGCAGCCCTGAGACTGTGATGGCCAAACTCATCCAGAACATCTTTGAAAACAAACTACAGGTATTTTCAATACTTCTCATTTGTTTACTTTTATTTAGACATGCCTTATTTGTCCTGTTGTATTCATCACCTTTGCGTCTGCAGGCCCATGTTAAGGAAAAGCTGGATGAGACACGACACTCTGATGTGGAACAGTACCTCAAGAACCTCTATGACCTTTACTCCAGGTATTTACCTTGCTCGCATATGATTTGATCCACTTCCTTTCTACACATAACCATACATGCTAACAATGTTACACACTTTTATGTTTTCCAGGAGTACAGCATTGGCCACCAAGCTGACAGAGTTCAACCTGGGCTCAGACAAGCACACTTTCCTGTCCAAGCTGATAAAGAGCATCTTCTCCTCGTACCTGGAAAGCTACATTGACATAGAGAGGGATTACCTTCGCACTCGAGGTGCCATGATTCTGCAGCGCTACTACGACTCCAAGAATCACCAGAAACGCCTTATTGGCACCGGCAGGTCAGATTTTAATCTAACTTTTTTCCCCCCCACATCCGAATTGATTATTTAAGTACGTTTTGCAAAAAGGATAAGACATTGTGTAACAAAACAACCATCCTCTGTGTCTTTCCACAGTATTCAAGAACTCAAGGAGCGGATCAGACAACGCACCAACCTCCCACTCGGCCCTATCATTGACACACATGGGGAGACCTTCTTGTCCCCAGAGCTCGTTGTCAACCTGCTGCAGGAGACGCGACATGCCTTTGAGAGATGCAACAGGGTAAGGCCAATAAAAAGACTGAGAAAAGCCGATCCAAACGGACCATCCTGTGGGCTAGAATATCTGACTCTGTTCCCTTTCTTTCTGTTTGTGACAGCTTTCAGATCCTTCAGACCTGCCCAAGAACGCATTTTTAATCTTCCTGCTGCTGGTTGACCATCTGTGTGTGGAGCACGTCGACTACGCCCTGGAGATAGGCCTCTCAGGTACATCAGATTCAGATGATTTAAAAAAGATATATATCTTTTTCATGTTTATGCTAACTTGGCTGTGTGCTAAATCAGGGAGTGGGTTTTTATTAGGGATGCAGGCCACAAAGACCTTCACAGAACCCAAAGGCCACACTGCATTCTCCTTTCTAGATAAGGCCAAGCATTTAGGTAGATCGTGTGAACTAATGGGCGACATTTCCATCCAAACAGCCAACAAAAGAGTTTACAACATCATTCTCTATGCAAGGTTGTTTGATATTCTAATCACAGCCCAATTGATCATGTCTTACATGAACACATGATGTACAACTGGAAAGCAATGTACAGGGTCAGCAGTAAATACAAACAATTTGTATTTGTCTGTGAAATCTGGCAATGATCACATCCACACTGCCAACAACTGAAGCAGAACCTTGCTATGAATGTTTATTTACAGTGGTTGTCTGCCCTGTGTAAATCACATTGATCCATCCTTCCACCTAGCTTTTGGTTTCTTTTTGTGATGTTTTTCCCCCCTTCTCTTTGATCTACAGCGATTCCCTCATCAGATGCCAAAAATGCCAACCTGTACTTCCTGGATGTGGTTCAACAGGCGAACTCTATCTTCCACTTGTTTGACAAGCAGTTTAATGACCAGCTCATGCCTCTAATAAGGTCAGCTCTTGGTCAAAGCTTAAAATCATGTGTACTCCCCAGATTTTGGTCATTCAAAGACTTATCTTTGAATCTCTCATACTTTTAGATGAAAGTGATTTTTACCTCTCTTTTTTAATTTTTTTATCTGTCTCCAGCTCATCTCCAAAGTTGGCAGAGTGCCTGCAGAAGAAGAAAGAGGTGATTGAACAGATGGAAGTGAAACTGGACACAGGGATCGACAGGTCAGTATGTTTGTAAGTTGCGCTTACTTATGTTTCCTATGTGCCAACAGAAACCCATAATACAAATATGTTCCAATGTATTCTTCTGATGTACAGAACGACAAACTGTATGGTGGGACAAATGAAGCACATCTTGACAACAGAGCAGAAGAAGACTGATTTTAGGCCCGAAGACGAGAACAACGTGATGATCCAATACACTACAGTAAGAGATACAAGGCCTCTGCGTGCACTACTGAGCTCACATGCAAAGCAAAGCAGGAAATGCATTTTGCTGATTTGTTTATCTTTGAATGTTTTGAATTGTTATTTTGCCTCTGGTCAGCAAATCTTCCATGTGTCTCTGTGTGTGTCCCCGCCCGGCAGGCCTGCTCCAAGGTGTGCTCCTACGTCAGTCGGCAGGTGGAGCACGTACGAAAATCCATGGATGGGAAAAATGTGGACACGGTGCTGACGGAGCTGGGCGTTCGTTTCCACCGGCTGATCCACGAGCACCTGCAGCAGTACAGCTACAGCTCCATGGGAGGCATGCTGGCCATCTGCGACGTGGCGGAGTACCGACGCTCCGCCAAGGAATTCAGGGTGAGCGGGGGGGGGCATAGGTCCAGGATACACTGCTCGCAGGGCAAAACATGGATCCTCTGACAGACCCTCATTATGTTTGTCATTACATTTAAATGGTTAGGTCGATTCAGGTGAACGCTCGTAATATTTGGTAGTTTTACACAAAATAAGTAAGTTTAGAAACTGTCAACCTGAAGATTATTTTCTTTGTGACAACAGCAGTTAAAGGGTAATGATTTATAATTATATTTGATAGAAAAGATAAAACTTTAAAATGTTTCTTTGATAAATAACTTTTATTTCTTTGTTAAAAAATTAATGGCCAATCATGACGCATTCCATCCAAGTAAAAGCAGAAGATGGAGAACATGTTTTCATCACTGTGGCTATGGACAAATGGATATTAGATTAGAAATATTCAAATATAGTTTAAATCCATGCCATTGTTTTGATATTATTGTAGATTTTGTATTGTGCTCCACACCACAGGATTAAGGTCCGGAGCTAGAGTTAAACTATTAATATATTTTGTCATGACAGCCTCGCGTGTAGAATAGTAAGGACGTCTAATAGGTTTGTGTGCTTGTCTGTCCTCCAGGTCCCTCTGGTGCTGCAGCTCTTCGACACGCTCCACGCCCTCTGTAACCTCCTGGTTGTTGCCCCTGACAACCTGAAGCAGGTGTGTTCAGGTGAGCAGCTCACCAACCTGGACCGAAACCTCCTGCACGCCTTCGTCCAGCTCAGAGTGGACTACCGTTCCTCCAGACTGGGCCGACACTTCAGTTAATGACTGGTTCATCACCGCGCTGCCCTCCGTCCAGTTAACCATGCTTTGATGAAACAATGCACCTTGAAGACACCCATCCCTGCTGCAGAGGACGCATCAGCCCGGCCCCGGTATACAGACTATTGCGGGGTTGCTTTGTACACCATGGAGACGAAGGCTACTGCTCCTTGAATGTGGGAAATGTGCATTTTATCTTTTTTTTTTTCATTGTTAAATTCTCCAAGCGGATGAAATTTAAATGTCTATTGAATTACAATTTAATTTGTTTTTAAATACTAATCCAACACACCAATGCACATGGATAACATTTCTGCCATAATCTAAGTAAATGGACATAATCAATTTCTGTGCTTATGTAAAAAGGAAACTTGTTTTTGATTGTGCCAAATATATAAATTCTGTGGCTGCAGTTGTGCAGAGAAAAACTCCCTGAAGCTGCTGTAAAGAGTCAACAATGAGAATGTAGCGTCACACATCAGGCCTGTGTGGGGAACAGCTACCCCTCTGTAATGAAGTGTAGGGGACCTGACAGACACAACCCCACCAAGCATGAGACATAGAGCTCTGTCTGGCTAAAAGAGACACATGACCACCTATGTAACCTTTGACTTCTGACCACAAAGTCGAGGTCAAGAGGCCATCACTGAGAAGTGTGATCTGAACTATTAGCAGGTCTGAGAATCTCTCTGGAGGTCTGGGTGGTCCCCTCTTAGGCTAAGATGACTGGTGTGATGGGTCAGTGGGTATGTGTCACTGTAATTGCACAAATCAACACCTGCTCATCCAGCATTGCACACAGTCCAAAGACATTGTTGGCTGGATCGGCAGTGTTTCTGGGTCAGGGGACATTAAAATGTTGACCCTTTGCTGATTAAGGAAACAAACTAGAGGGGACTTCTTCACACGGGGCTTTATTTGATCTCAGTCACTGTCTTCTGCACTTAAAAAAAGAGGGCTGATCGTGTCCTTGATGCCTGAAACTGTCTCCTACAGCTGTTTACTTTAATTAGTGACTCATTGAAAAGATGTTGCATTTTATTATTATTGTCCCTCTTCTGAACTTCCTCAATAAATTTGGGAGCTGTGATTTGAAAGTTTGGCCAGTTCCTCTCCGCGAATGTCACTTTCAAAGTGAGATGAAACAGTCTTCGCTTCTATAGAAGTCATCAAGTATTCATGGGAATTCTTGCCTCCAGAGTAAAGTTCTTTCTTAGACTTCAGGAAGTGAGCAGAGCCAGAGGGGATTAGATATCTACGAGTTGATGAATTGTGTGCAGTAGTCATGGACTGGGGGAGAGCCGGGGAGATAGAGACGCCTGAGAGCTCAGTTCCAGCTCCGGCTGGTTAGTGTTGTGTAGAAGGTACACACAGTGCTGTGCAAGTTCAAACAACATAATTAATTAGGCTAATATTAATATTATCAATGCCACATAAATTCAATTCTCGCTACCCTAATCACAACTGGATAGCTTGTAAAAATTATTTTGTTAGGCCCTGATGCAAACACTGGGTCTTTTCCAAACATTTGAAAACTATTTGTTTTTGCGGCGATTAATGTGCGTGGCCCAGGAAGGGGTTGGGGGAGCGGAGCCGGGCCAGGCACGATAACTGCCGCGGAGACGGAGGCAGAGGCGCAGCCGGGCCCCAGGGACTCCCAGCGCAGGCACATGGGAGAGGGGGAGGGATGTGTTTTTTGGGGTGGGTGTTTGAGCAGGTGGAGGGGATTAGTAATACTGTCAACACTGGAGAGCTGGATAAGACTGTCCTCTCTTACTCGTGGGTTTGAGCAGCTCTTGCATACACATTCAGACACAGAAAGACGCCAACACACACAAACACAGGGGCGTGAGGACAGGAGGGGGAAACGTATCTGTTGTGTTGAACTGACCATGGACAAGTTGTTCATGTTCCACCTTTGATTGTACTTCACGTTGAGGTTGTTTCCTGCTGCAGGAGTATGACTCATGCACATCCTGTAAAGACAATAACCCTCATTAAACACCTTAAGTAAACTCCGGTATAAATGTACATACTAGGAAAACTTCCTACAAACAGTGATCAGCAGCCCTAAATTAGTACCTTTGCACTCACTAAAACATGGATTCTTAAAGTTAAGCGTTCAGTATGTCGATATATAAATCACTCTACTGAACTTCGTCTTACTATCTTTTGAATATACAATAACACATCAAATACACATTTTCTTGAATGAAACAGAACCTTTTCATGTGAGTGTAAAAGCGCGTACACATCCATATTCAAGTTAAGATTCAAATGTTGAAATTTTGCAGCTCAATCCATTGTTCCACTGACCACAGACACCCTCATTTGTTTCCCCTTTTCATGCATCTCCCTCCCTTTGTCTCCTCTGCCAAACCATCAACCATGCTGTCCTGTCTTTCCACTCTTTCTGCACGCCCTGCTAGTCCTCCAACATCCCATAAATCCTTGCTTTCGGCGTATTGCTGCTACCCCAACTAGGCCGGCCCTCCCTCTGCCTCCTGGAGCACTGACAATAAAGCATTACAGCAGTCAATCCATGTCAACAACAGCTTTGCTTAATTCCTGCTAAACACGTTTCAACTAAATCTTCACCTAATGATGCATAATGATTTGCTCTTTAGTGTGCTGGCGGCTCCTATCAATTTCTGTGGTTTATTTTACACTCCATCGGAAAGATGACTCAGGTGGTCTAGCTGCAGCAGACAGACGGGGAGGGAATTAAGGATCCCCCTGTTAAAAATAGTCAGGTAATTGTGACTAGACACTCTGCAGAGCCTAATGCTCTCAGCAGGATAACTCTTACTATTTTCAAACATTATTATGCATTTACGAATAATGCAACTGTTTGATTATTAAAGAAACATCAGAGTATAAATATTGATAATTATACTGCAGGTGAGTTGATATTAGTGAATAAACTGAGCATCCATGGTCCCTTCAAATCCATTCTTAAGGGTTTCTCAGTGGGAGTCCTTCAGGGCACAGAGCCAGGCCCTCTGATGTGCTGCAGATGTTGCCCTGGCCTTGACCTCCTGCCCATACGATGCCGGGGCCAAAATGGCACAGGTGCGGCGCCACCTTCAGTCTTGGGCAGCCGGGCGCTGCACTGTGCAGGATGTGACCGGTGCCAACTCTCCTCCTTTGCTCACTTTCCTCATTACCAAGATCTAGTCTGATGGGGCTTAAAGAAACTCTCCCTTGATTCCTGCAATCACACAACCGTCGTTTTGATGATCCTCAACTACTGTGCTTGTCCTTTTTTTTTTTTTACCCTCCCCCACGCCTTCTCTCCTATAAGAACACTATTAATTCTCTGCCATAGTGGAGTGTTTTCCACTGCTATTTCCTGGCCCGGTGCCTGTGCCTTGCTCTCTTGGCTGGGTCTGTCTGGTTGACTGCTCCACAGGAACAGACTGGCACTCTAGCTGAGGGCTCCAGGGTCTGCACACACAATCCACTAAACATGTCTCTGTGTGAGGAGCTGCACTGCCTCCCAAATATGAAATATGGGCCCTGATTTACCACATATTAGGCCTATTTAATTCGCTATTATTATAATAATTAATGTGAACCACTCGTTGTTACAATTAATAATGATGTAAAGTAGTAGCAGCAGCAATATACAGAAACAAAGTATATATTTATATTGTTATAATGATATAATATATATTTAAAGTCCTGCAACACACACCCACTGACTGTCATATTGGCAGATGTACAACTACACGTGAAAATGCATACACAACATATTAAAATCCCACAGTAACAGTATAGAGAACAAATTGATTCTGATGGTTAAGGGACTTCAGTGTCTAACACATTCACTAACAGGGCAAACAAACATCTGTTTGTTTGTACGGCCTATGGCCCTCCTAACCCACTGATGTTGAACCAAGCCTGCACACATGCCAGAGACACAAATGAGTTCTCTCTCTCTCCTCCACCAAAGATGAAACACTGCATCACCAAAGCATGTGCAGTTGTCTAATCAAGCTTTTGCCTGCGGCTACACTGAATGTAAATGAAAAGGCTTGTGTGTGCCAGCCTCTATTTCCGTTCAGACTGGCTGCTGTTTGATGATGAAATGGTGCGCTGAACATCAGACAGAAGGGGGCACTAGTGCTCCAGAGTTGCTCTGCTCCCCCGTGGAGCCCTCTCTTCCTCAGAGCTCCTCACAATGGGGATCTGCCTGAGGGGGGAAATGTTGCTTTTTTAGGTCTGTGAGCCCATATCCCTTAATCCCCAGCCATGATTGACAATCATGATTTAGGGTATATGGTGTCCCATTCTAATCCACGAGCAGTGATTTCATTTGCATACCTACCGTACGTGGCCTCATTTTGGAGGAAACGGCTGGCTTTGTAAGTGATACAGAAAGAGAGAGGGAGAACGCTGAACAGCGAGTGCAAAATAGAGAATAAGGAGGAGAAATAGAATGGATGAGGGAATGTTTGTGGGCTTTTCTTCTTCTTTGCCAGAAGGAAGATGATAGCAGTCTCCATGCCCAACCAAACACCAGCGTATATATGCCTTTCCTCTGCAGCACTTTCCCCTGTCACAGTCACAAACACAATGCATATTCAAACTCTCAAGCACAATCACACGTATATTCAGAAATGTAAAGATGCATGAAGACGTGGGAACGCGGAGGAACACACAGAGATGCTCCCTCACACGATGCAAAACTAAATTGCTATTTGCTCATTTTATAACCAAGTCAGGCTTAATTATAATCATGGGAGTTTGGGAGTTACCGTATAATCTCTAGAAGGTATTAAGAATTACCCAGAGCACACCACAGTGAAAGAGAAACAAAAACAAATACGTACAATTATTTCCCAGTCATAACACCCAGGGGAGTCTGAATCAAATAATGCTCAGTGTTTGGTATGCCCACAGAGACCATTCATCCTCACTTTATCTACTGAGGAAGTGGAACAGAAATGAAACACCGGATAAAAGGTCAGAGGGGTCACGTTTCAGTGTAAGGTAAAGGGACAAATTAAATGTAGAGATAAGGCAAGATAAAATAATCATCTGCTTTGATATAATGTAATACTGAATATTCAAATATATTTAGATTTCATGATCATTTATGCAACGTGTCTTAAGACTTCATATAACGCATGTGTAGTAGGACATAAGTCATTTTAAATCATGAGTAAATACAAAGATAAATGCAAAATGCCACTTTTTATTTGTAGTTTAAATGCAGATCCAAATACTGACAAATACATATAGAATCAAACCATTATATGTCACTTTGTACAGTTTTGTTAAATCAAAAAAAGAACATACATTATAATATTTATTTTTTTAGGCCAAATTATTGGATTAAGAATGTAATCTGTATCTATGTATACATTTTTGAATTATCTAGATGCAAGGCGTAAGGTTATCCTAATTACAAAAAGCAAATATAAATGATAATATAATTAACTCCTGGATTAGACTGCTCTCAGACCGTGTACACTAACATCGTTTTTTTTAGTTTTAGCAGATCTCCAAATGTTTATAAAATGATGCAATCTACAATATGTCCATTTAATGAAATGTTGCAGCCATAGAACCATGAAATTATGAGTTTCATTTTTCATTCAGTCAAATAAAAATAAAATCCTGTTAATATATATAGTGATATATCAAGAGTTGGAACCAGCTGATATATTATTTGTAAAAATAAATCTATAGTGAGGGATCAATAATAAAAATAAAAAGCTGTTAATGGGTGAAACCTTATTATGATATCAGAAAAGAGTGAATGGAAACACATCTCGGCTTTGCACCATTTACCCATCACTCCACATTTAAAATATACTAATAACAAAGGTGTCATTTTCAGAACAAATATCAAATATCCCTCATCTATATTTATCAGATCTGGAGTCCCTGAAGCAACACTGCCAAGGTTAAGCTTACAAGAGTAGGAAGAGATAGTGAGGGAGCCTCTTCCCTCTCAGTAATCACCGCCACATACTGTACCCTCCATCCATCCGTCGCTCCTCTCTGTCTGGCTGAGCCTGGCCAGGTCTCTGTGACAGAGGACTCCCCTTTGGAACAATAACAGTCTGATAATCTCCTCTTATCTCCAGTGTGTTTAGTGCCTGGTTAACAGGCTGTCTGCTTGATGGGTGTCTCTCCTCTGCTGTAGGGGAATGATCGTGTCATCGTGAACCTGAGGTAAAAGAGACTGAAGGCTACACCACACCAGAGAGGATACATCTATATTAAAAGGAACAAATGATGTAGAGTATTCATTTGGGATATGACATGTTTGTTGCAAAACTCTCCTCCTGTCTACCTGTTCTGAGTTTCCTCCCCCTCTGGCCTCACCCAGCCCACTTCTCTCCCAGGGTGTCAGTGTGGGAGGCGGTGTGGAATTAGGCCGCCTGAGGGTGTTGAGCACTTGAGCATAGCACCCATCATCCCACCTCCATGGGCCATCCCACCCTCTTAGCACTGTTTACCAGCCCTGGCCTAATTGATTCCCTCTCTTTATCTTTTTACCTCCCTAATGTTGTTATTAAGTGTGCGGGAGAGGCGAGAAAGCTCCTCTTTTTCCCATTTTGAGAAATTATACTCTTGTACTTGATCCAGCTAACAGGATTTTCTTAAATTACTTTATAAAAGACCATCTTTTAACTTTCTTCTTTCTCTCTCTATCCATTCATTAGCAGGTCTGCCTCAAGGCCTGCTCACATCAATTTATTGGGTTAAAGTTACAAACTTAGGCAGCTCAGCTCGGCGCTCACGGTGGTTTTGTGGACGAGAGGGGGTGTCTGGGGGTGGAATGGGGACGAATGATTAATTTCTGAAGTATTAGAAAAATAAAGAGATTGAATTAAGAGTATTGGTCCTCTGTTATCCAGCATGGAGCCTCAGGGACTTACTGTGGTGGAGGACATTATGCAAATGCTCTCTTTCTCTATCACCCATTCTCTCTACCTCCCTCCCTCTTTCACCCTTCCTCACTCTCTAGCAGTCAATCTCTGCTCTCCTATAATCTTTCTCCCTGTGTCTCTGTCTCTTTAATCTTCATCAGTCAGCAGAGACAGCGTAAAGAGAGTGTCTCCTCTCTATTCTCTCCTATCTCATTCATAAAGTGTTGGTTCCCAAAATCTACAAAAGCAAATGAAAAGGTCAAGAAGAGATTCTGAAACCAGACAGGAACCATCCCATTCTCTGTCACTTTATCATCAGTGAGGTGTATGGATCTGAGGATCGATAGGATTTACCAAGAGGTTTTGGAGTCCTAGGCGGGAGCACTTGAGGAAGCAGAATTCTTATTTTCCTTGAAGCATTAAATGTTATATCACATGATACCTAAAGTAAGGGGAACTCCAGACAGTTTATGCTGTATATGTAAAAAAACAAGTTGTTTAAAGCCTTTTAGCTGCGCAAAATCTGATAAGTCAGCTCAAGTGATGTCACCGATCAGCGTTAGTTTAAGCTAAATACCACAGGTTTAAAAAAGGAAAAACAGAATTGTGATGTAGAGTTAGAAAGAAATTAACTAACTGGACCTTCTCATTCTGCTGAAGGCTAGAAGCTCAAGGCTACAGCCCTTACACCCAAATCTTCAACTCAACTTGGGTAACATTGGATTGTGGTCTATTTATGTGCCAGGTATTGACAAAGAAGATCAAGAAAGGAAATTCAAATAATATGATAACTCTGATTCTGCTCCATCCTTTTTGTTTTAAACTTTATGGGGGAAAGTAAAAGGCATACAGAAGGAGGCTGAATGAACATCAATATTTGTGTATTCTTAGTTGTTATGCATCAATGGTCAAAAGGTCAACATTTAAAGTCTTCCAAACAAAGTGACGTGAAACAGTGTGTCAAAAACAGAACTAAAGACATGAACACAAATTACATTTTGAAATATTTACCATGTTTAAACTTAAATTCGGAAACCTGGAAAACAGGTTTGGATTTGGATTCACCTTGTCCTCCTTGTTATAAAAACTAACTGATAAGATAAACTGCAGAGTCAATATCATAAAATAAAACAACAATTACATGAGAATATTCTTATTTGACATGCTCCCATTTTACAAAAATATATATAATCAAATCTTGATATCTTGCTATCTTAGGCTTCTTTTCAATGTATATTATAAAGAGAACAGGCAGGTAAAGCCAGGTTAAATGAACTCATCATCTACGAGCCGTAGATAACTAAAGCTGACATGCAAAACTTTGTTCAATATTGATGTTTATTCAAGAAGGCTGATGAGTTCAGGTAATTAAACCTTAATAGATGAAATGGAAGAAGAAGGGGCAGCAGAGGAGGACGGCCAAAGGGGAGGAAGAGAGGAGGACGAGGAGGAGGGCAGCGAGGCATGGTGTCAGTAACAAGGGCAGTAATCTTACAGCGGGGGGGAGAGGCTCCCAGCAGCACCGGCGGCATCCTGCTCCAGCGGCGTACACGGCACTAGAGGCAGAACAGACAGGTTTGATGTTAGCAAATATTAGCTTTGTGCAGGACGTGGTGTACTCTCTTTGACACACTCATTGCATATTCAGGGACAGATGTTTCCGAGGACGAGGAGGAGGAGGGCGGCAGGTTGAATGAAAGGCCTGAGATGGCAGAGTTGCTCTCAGAGGAGCAAGTAATTGGCCCCTTGACGGTAGCGGCGATAGAGAGAGAGGCACTTACACACACACACTCGCGCACACACCCCTCGCTCGTCTCCTCTGCCTCTCTTCCCAGATCTGATAAAGGTAAACGTGTAGCAAATTTGTCATTTGATGAGGGAGGATTTCCACAAACAGGGCTGACATGATGAGCCTGTGATCTGCCTGTATGAGAGTCAGCAGGGGCCCAGGCAGGCAGAGATCTCAATCCTCCCTCTTCCGCTTCCCCCCCCCCTCTCGCTCTGTGCCTCTCTCTTCCTCACATACTGTCACACACACACACACACACACACACACACACACACACACACACACACACACTTGGCTGTGTTCACATGGAGCCTCAGTCTCAGTAATTGCTGCCTGCCATCCATATCTTTCCTCTTCTCTGTCTCTGAGTCCCTCGCTCTGCTGCCGTCTATCTCTCCTCCTCAGAGACATCCTCCTCTCCTTTTACTCTGTTTCCTCTTTTCTCCATCAAATAAAGGGCCTGGCCCTCGCCTCAGCATCACACTCAATTTCTGACTCTTTCACTTATCTCTGGGCTCCATGCCTGCAGACTGCTCAATTATCCACACTCACCTAGCTCCCTCTTCTTCTACTCGCCCATGCAAAAGAATCCCTCAAATATTTCCAATGGCGTATTGACAAGTTAAAGGGGTTCATGGTCAAGAGCTCAGTCGCAGACATGAGCTGAGTGATACAGTTGCAACACATGCAGGTGATAACAGCCCCGCTGGAATAATACAGGGATTTTTGAGCGGGTTTTTGAAGGACTCATATCAGATGGATTCAGAAGGACTAAGTTAAATTAAGTTCAGTGGCGATGACCCATCCCGGCTCCTCAGCCAGAAGTTGACCACCATTACCAAAACAATTCTCACTACAGTAACCCCTCCATCGAGATTATGAACACACTCTTTCAAAGTGATCACGAGACTCTCCTCTGACGATAAAAACACCTTCCCCGTCCCACCACTAGGGGTGGGCGGATCGATCCCAAAATATCGATACTTCCGATATTACGTTACGTTTCAAAATATCGATACTAGAGCGAATAGGATCGATACTTTTATACTTTTTTTCCCGTCTCCTCTACTCGTCAATTTCTTCAAAAAACTATGTGCAGACGAACACAAGTATATGCTCTTTTCTTCTCTCTCCACTGCTGTCCTCCTCTCCTGGAGGCTCGTGCACGCGCAACGCACTCCCTGCCTGAACGCCGATTATCAAGCTGACTGACAGCAGCCGGCAGGACAGCAGCAGCGGGCAGGACAGCAGCGGGCAGGACAGCAGCAGCCAGCGACTCGCGAGTGCAACACACACACACGCATGATGGCTGAGAGAAAGAGCAGCGTTGTGTGGAGCAGTTTCACAACTGGCAATTCAAACTTAGCGAAATGTGATGTGTGCAAGAAGACAGTTCGCTACTCTGGCCACTTTGTATTGTTATTTTTCATGTTTGCACTTTAAATTTGCAAAAGTAAAACGTTTATTTGTCTAAAGTATAAAAACTGTCGTGTCTGTATTCATGAAAATGAATTCAGATTTAGTCTATTTATGATGCTTTCAGCTCAAAAATCATGTCATGCAGCTCCCCCCTATATGAAAGTACATAAGACGCTTTTCATTTTAAAAAGTATCGGTATCGATATCGGTATTGGCGATACTGGCCCTGAAATACTTGGTATCGGATCGAATCCAGATTTTGTGGTATCGCCCACCCCTAATTCACGGACTTTCCACATGGTAAAAGTGGGGGGGTCTAAACTAATCATTTCAAAAAGTGGGGGGGACTTGTCCCACCCTCATATAATGGCTGCGACGCCCGTGGTAGATACACGGATTCGCGTCGGCCGAACCACGCCCCTTAGCTCTGATATAATGAGCATATACCACGGCCTGTCGTGAGCTATTGCTTAAATATACGTGTGTAAGAGTGAAAATATATGTATGTATAAGGAGAATGTATGTATGTGAGAGGACCAGTATGAATTATGGCCTGTACGGCCCCTCATAGGTTCATGGTACAATGCATAAGCTTCAAATCGAGAGACTGAAACTGTATTTTTCTTTACCGTTCTGTTTTAATTTCACAATAAAGTTAATAGTAATATTATGTTTGATATTACTACACTGTCAAATGTTTGGCTGTAAAATTACAGTAAATTACTGGCTACTAGTTGCATAGATTTCACAGTAATTTACTATAAATATTTCACATTAATTGACTGTAAATATTTCACAGTAATTTACTGTAGATATTTTACAGTAAATTAGAATAAAAGTACAACTAAATACTGTGACTTTACAGTTGCCATGCCCATGGCATTACTGTGATATAGCAGTATAGAGCTGTGGTATTATGGTACCTTGCTTTACATAAATTACAGTAATTACATGTATGTTCACACTATTACTGTAGAAGTAATGCAACACAGTAGCCAGTAATTTACTGTAAATATACAAATCTAAATAATACGATAATATTGTAAATTTGACTGGGATTGTACCATAACTACACAATTCAATCAGCTCAATCAACAAAGAAAAACAAAGAAAATGCCCATTTTAACTTTTTATTACTCCATTGAAGTGCAAAGTACATTTCACAGTAGAGGTTTCTCAATACTCTAATTTCCCTTCCTCGACTCCTATCCTCGATACTTAGTCCCGCAAACAGAAGATGCGAGCGGAGGACTGAGGAGGGGAACCGAGGAGAGAGGAGGGGAAGCAGCAGGCGGTTAGAGAAATGAGAACTCCTCTCCTCTGAGCGGTCATTTTAAAGAGACGTCCATCAATGATTACAGGAGGCACATCAGCCCTCTGTCTGATGGACGGATGTGTTCATGACGACTTATATATGTCATGTCCAAGAAACTTATAGTGAAAGTTTATTCTTTATGTTAGAGTTGTCATGTCCCTTTGTCTTGTGCTTTATGTCTATACCCTTAATTATTTCTTCCTCTCATTTCAGGCCTCCACGCTCCCCGCCCCTTTTCTGTCTCCTGCGTCCTTGATTATTTCCCACCGCCCTGATTTGTTTCCAACTGGTCCCCTTTACCTGTGTATATATGTGTTAGCTCCCTCCTGTTAATTGTCAGTCGTT